AAAATTTATTGTAAAATGTGTTTGGAAGTGTCAAAATGCAGTTGAAGTGAAAAGATACTTTAGGACAGTGTCTCAAACTGATCCATCAATGTGAAACCAACAAACTGATCCATCAATGTGAAACCAACAAACTGATCCATCAATGTGAAACCAACAAACTGATCCATCAATGTGAAACCAACAAACTGATCCATCAATGTGACTGACGATCACTCTGATTAAAGATAAGTTTGAAGCCAATGAAACTGTTTAGAATATCCACAAGAAGTGTTCCGGAAGACCATGGGCATCCACAACCCCCCACAAAAGAAGAAAGAGTACTTAAATGTTTTATATATCAGGGTGTCCCAAAAAATGTATACACACTTTAACAGCTGATAGATAGTTTTTTTTTGTCTTTCCAGGATAAACCCATTAGAATTAAGGATGGCAGTCAAACTAAGCTTTGAACAAAGAAAATTCATTGTAAAATGTGACTGGAAGTGTGAAAACGTAGTTTAGGAGGGAGTTTCAAACAGATCCACCAATCTTCCCTTTTATTAAATATTCAGGAAGTTTTCTGCCATCCTCTTTTATTTAAGCTTCAAGAATTCTAGGGCAAAGCATCACATTATTGAAAATTATAAGAAAAAATTCCAGCCACCCGTTTTACTCCATTTGAAGCTCCTCATGTGCATGTGCCTTAAAAAGAAGAGCTCGGCTCAAAACAAGATAAAAAGACAGAAACCTGGTTGAAAATAAACATATTTAATAATGCACAAGGCCGAGTTATTTGTCGCTAAATATGGCTCATGACTGACTGTAAAGACCTTCGATAATTCTGATGCAAATCGTTATCATTCTAAGAGTTGTCTGGATGACTGAACTCATTCTTTGCATTGCTTTTGTAATTATCATAACGTTACACAAACTTCTTCAGATCAAAGAGATGTAAGGAGTGGGTAAGGGACATTTTATTCATTTATTTATTTTTTTTTTTTTTTTGCCAGCAATCTCTGCAAAAAAAAACAAACAGTTTTACTAACTAAAAATTATAGACTTCATACTGGAGTCATACAATAAACTAGTGATTCTCAACTGGTATGCTGCAAGATCTTCTTGCAGCATACCAGTTGATGTGCAGTGAAATATTGTCATTATATATATATATATATATATATATGTGTGTGTGTGAGAGAGAGAGTAGTAAAGGTACAGTGTTAGTATTTGAATAAATAAATAAATATTAAACTTTATTTTTAAATAATTCTTTTCGCTATTCTTTGATTGTTATTTCAATAACTTTGTTTTAATATTCATTTTTTTAAAAAGTATTTTTATTTTTTAACTTTTTAAAATTTTCCTTTATTTAAATAAATGAATATTGAACTTTTTTTCATATATTATTATATTTCATAAATTTGTTTAATTCAAAATTTTAATAAAGTTATATTGAATTATGAATTAATATTGTCAAAGTTTCCGATATGTAGCACTGAGCATTTGATATTACAATTTTTTAAAAGTATATAACTGATATTTGTACTTATCGTACATTCGACCAAACATTGAAGAAATCAAAAAAAGAAAAAAAAAACAAGGTAAAAGTTTCACACTAAAGCCGCACAAATAGTTGAATAGAAACAGTGAAATAAAGTAAGTTCAGATTTGTGTGCGTATTTTATTTTTTTTTTAAATCTATGGTTTTATTTCATAACATTTAAATGTATACCATTTAAAAATTTTGCTAAATATGCCATGATATTTTCATTTGCTTCTAGGTATGCCGCTGCTTAGAAAAGTTGAGAAATATTGCAATAGACACTGCAACCAGAAATTTTTTTTTTTTTCCATATTTTATAGATTAAACCCTAAATATCAAATATTTTAAAGATTAAAAAAAAATTCATTGAATTTTAATAAAATCTAATAGGGGGTCCAGATTACTATATAAATTCATTGTAATTTGATCCCCCTATGAAAACCAAAATAAAGATTCTCATGCCACATGATTTTCTAAAATTAAAAAAGAGAAAATTATTTTGAAATTCATAATTTAGTGTCCTTATTTAAAAATCAAATAAAGTAATATATGTCAAAAAAAAAAAAAAAAAAAAAAAAAGACTCCAGACATCTGTCTATATTTAAACTATTTATATCATTCAGACTGTTTGCTGTCATATTCATGATGTTTCGTCTGTTGAAAGCTCCAGCCTTCTTCAGCATCCGTCTCTTTTTCTAAGAGAATGTAATTATTCTTAGGCATTATAACTATCTTCATTATTTACATTGTTCAGACTGTTGTCCTCATCTTTGTCATATTCATGACATTTTGGCTGTTGTACACTTCGGCTTTCCTCAGCTGATACATATTGGATTTTCAAACCAAATGAGATACGTTTTCAGTGTGATCTGACCGTAGGCTTTGCTTTAGTAAATAAACCAAGAAAATTATATTTTTTCTCTTGATATTTGGTGTAAAACTCAAACAAACCATTAACAAACAACATTTATTTGTTATGTTTTTTGCCTTTCATGAACTAAACTGAAAATTTGTTCTGTTCAGTAATATGATCCAAAGATTGATTGATTGGTTTGGTTTGTGGCATATCAACACCTCAATGGGTTATCTAATTGTTGAAGCTTGAATAAGCATGGAATAATAATAATACAACACAAAATGTACGTAACAAAATGTATTGAAACAATGAAAAAAGGTACACAATATTTACAGGTAGTTTTGGTATATTCTTGGGAAGACTGTTCCTGCAGAATGGGTTGACTAAGTCGCAGTCGGGCAGAGTCTCTGGATTCGATCTCTTAATCTTCCGTCGTCTTCCGGTACCAACCCATATTTATATGGTCGGTACTCCACTTATGTAAATTAGGTGTATCATACACAACACTAATGCTGACAAGATTTTTATTGCTGGTAATATTTTTTCCAAAAATATATTGCTGGTAATATTTTTTTCAAAAATGTATTGCCTGTAATAATCTTTTTCTTTAAAAATTCATTGCTGGTAATAATTTTTTTACAAAAATGTATTGCTGGTATTAAAACATATTTTTAAACTTTCATAATACTTTGACCCCAGTTTGGGGGTTAACTATTTGCCCATAGCTGGGAACCTAACAGGTGCTATCACCCTGGGTCAGGGTGAACCTGGGAACACCAGCAATTAAAAAGTGGTTGCACGCTCCTCAAAACCTGATCAGAAGTCTTGCTGTTGGATGCAATTTACTGTCTTCCTCAGAATTCTTTCTTTTTTTTTTTTTTTCTTTTTTTTAAGCAGTTAAACAACCTAATGTAAGTCAAGGTCAAAAAATATTTTGGATTTTAAGAATAATCTTTCTTTTTTTTTTGACTGAATATTGCATTAACAATTTTTGTCTTGAGAATAATAATTATTTTTCCAGATACAAGTCCTACTGTTTAACCCATATCTAGAAGGGAAGGAGATGGATCAATACCTTTTCCAGGGGTATTTGCATTAAACTGAATGTAACAAACGCAACTAGACAATCCAAGGAAAGTAAGTAATGATGTTGTTGCTGCAGGCATGTAGATTAAAGGGATCAAAATAAATTTTTATTTTTTGAAACATTTTAATGTTTTTGTTTTTTTATTATGCAACTATTTAAAAATTTTAGGCTTTTGAATATCTGTTACAAATAGTGCTATTCATTTTGAAAACTAACAAATTTCTGGATAATGGTTGCAGGATATGGAGACCACAGTTTAATGATTAAAAGGAACAAAATAAATATTTATTTCTTAACATTTTAATGGTGTTTTATTTTGCTACTAATAACAATAAATTAAAACAAAGTCTAATTTTGTTGGGATGGTTCCAAGTTTTTTCAGAAGGATTAAAATCATTTTTCAAGATGGTTCCAGTACAATGGTGGAAAAAGAAGGGTAAGTCTGGAGCCCTTGTAACAAGGTAGGTAGGTCTGATGAAATATATAGGCACGTGGCTTAGAATGTACACTTTCCAACCATGAGATCCAAGTTAGGATCTCAGCATTGGTCAATTTGTCAGCAAAGTGAATTCTTGATGTTATCTGGGGGAGGTGATCACAGTGTGCCCAAAAATCATACCACAGGTTTACCCAAGCCTTGTGAATAAAATTAGGTAGATGGTACTCTTCCAAAGTCATAGATGGTTGCACTAGCATGAAGTCACAAGTCACTGTGACCAAGGCTTATAATGATTGAGTGATTTATTCTCTACAGCTTATTCATTTTTTATGGTTTATCAACCATTTGCAGATTATTTAAAGTGAGACAAACATTTTTACATTGTATGAATATTTTTCAGTGGGGAGGAGGAGGATAATAATGATTTAGTGATACAAATCTTACTAATCAACCCATAGCTGGGGGGAGAAGATGTGGATTCATACCTAATAAGAATTTGATAAGCAAACAAGAAATTATCATGTGGATATAAAATGGGGGATCAATTCTATATTACATTCAGTATATAAACTGATCCCTTGCTTTGTGGCCATATTTTCTATAATTTATATTCCAGAGAATGTAAATAAATCTAAAACACATGCTTGTGTAGCTAATCAGTATTTTATTGATTGATTCATTTTCTATGATTTATCAACAGGAAATTATAATGTAAATCATATGTAAAATGATCCCTCATTTTGTGGCCACGGTAGTTTCAATACATTTATATTCCAGAGAAGATAAATAAATCTAAAAGACATGCCTGTGTAGCTAATCAGTATTTGATTGATTCATTTTCTATGGTTTATCAACCCTTTGCAGGTTATTTAAAGCCAGAAAATATTTTCAGATTGTAAGAATTTTTTTGAGATAGTAATGGTTTTAGTGATACAAGTCTTACTAATTAACCCATAGCTGGAAAAAGAAGAGGTGGATTCATACTCTCCCAAAGGTATTTACATGTAAGTGAATATAGTGTACCTAACAGAAATTGGAACTTGGCTCTCCAATTAACAATTCGGTCATCATCCATTACATCACCCGCATATCCTAGCTTACAGCAGCTGGTATTCCCCAGTGGTCACTCATCTAAGTACTGACCAGGCTCAACATGGCTTAACTTTGCTGATCATAAAATGTTTCAATGATTATATGGTTGTAAGAGTCCAAGGATTTGAGTATATTGGCGTTGTTCAAACTGTTCATCATGTAAGATTATATGTTCTCTCCCAGAAACTCTCAAGATTTGCTCAGCTTAGTTGCAGTATCAACCACAGGTGAACTCTGTGGGTGTTGAACAAACATGTGCCTGAGCAGACATCTGCAACAGGAATTGGCTAGCCGCCCTAACAAGAAAATGGAGTAGCCAACTATTATTAATACTGTATATGTTAGCATACAAGGTGACCTGTTCAGCTTAAAAAAATTGCTCCTCCCCACAAAATAGGGAGCTGTCTTATACCCAAGATTTAAAACGTGAACCTTAAATTAAGGCCCCACTAACTAGTGGTAAAAGAAGGGAATATGATGCACCTTCAAAAATTCAAATGAAATATCAATCATTATCTATTGTCTTGATTACTCTTCTATTCTTCTTGTTTATCTTTTTTCTTGTTCTTTCATACACAGTAAGCCTTTGTGTCTTAGTGGCTTTGCTGCCTTGTATGGAGTGATATGATAAAACAAAAAAAAAAAAAAGAAAAAATAAAGACGATTAGTTGGTTGGTTGGTTTTAAGGATACAAAATTTGGCCTAGTAGAAAGTAATCAACCATCTTGTTTGTGTCTTTGTAAAGCCGAGTCAGGGTTGGGTTAACTTTCTCAGAAGGTAAGGTATAGACACAACTGTGATTGCTATCTTCCACCCACTGCTCTGTGCACAAGGGGTGCAAAAATGCACCGTGAATGGGCAAATACGGTGTAATCATGCAACTTGTAGGAAGTGAGAAAGAATGCAGATACTAACGCACATACACAGTTCAGCATTTCCACATTCTGTCTGTACCCCTCCACTTCCTCATGCGCAAAGCAGGAAGAGACAAACGAATGTTTTGGTGGTGCTGATCTCTCCTTTCTCCCTCCCCTCCATAAATAGCATTCCTGCAAGAGATGTATGGCACAAGCAAGCAGAAAATCAAACAAGCCAATCGCAGCAAAGCAACTGGTGCCAAAAATCTAGCTCAGACTCTTAAAGCCCAAGTCTGTCTGCCTAAGCGGAGGTGGCAATCTCTAGTCATGGCTCAGCTGGTAAGAATCGCTAGGTTTGGGACAAAGAAAAAAAAAGAAAAAAGAATTTTATGAATTAATTTTAGTTAATTTTTTTTTTTTTGGTTTTTGCTTTTTAATGAAGATATTACTTGAAAATTATTCTCCTTGGCTTTAGCAGATACCTCTCATCTCTATCTGGCCTTGTGTCAAACCTATAGACTAACTAGTGGCAGTGATAGGAAAGCTTGTAAACAGATTTGCTCAGTGATTTCAATCCACACTGGATGCACCCATCTTCACTACCATCAGTACTATATACAAATAGGTGATGAAAAGTTCTCAGCCAGACAAGAAGCTATGAAAAAAATGAATAAAACAAAGTATATATACTATACATAAAGACAAAAGTAGATAAAATAAGTAAATAAAAATAAATAAATAAAAATGGAAAAAAGTAAATAAAAAAGTAAATAAAGAATAAAAAAGCAAATAAAAAGTAAAAAAATAAAAAAGTAAATAAAAAGTAAAAAAAAAAAAAAAAATTAAGTAAAATCCTGATTCCTAGCCATTTGATCAAATTTCGCAAAGTGAGTCCTGCAAAGTTCAAATTTCGCAAAATGAGCGTCCATCGCTCCTCTTGTACTTGTGCTAGACTAGAGTAAACTTCAATATTTGTCTATATCTCTGAGATGAGGTATTATGATTACTTGCATTATTTACATTATTCAGACTGTTATTCTCATCTTCATTGCCATATTCACAATGTTTTGGCCGTTGTATGCCTCAGCCTTTATGTCTATGTCTCTCTCTATATATCTGTCTATATCTCTGAGATGAGGTATTATGATTACTTGCATTATTTACATTATTCAGACTGCGATCCTCATCTTCATTGCCATATTCACAATGTTTCACCTGAAGAAGGACGAAGCGTACAACAGCCAAAATGTTGTGAATATGGCAATGAAGACGAGGATAACAGTCCGAATAATGTAAATACAGTGTAACCCGGATATAAGAGAAATTTTCTCTGGTCCCAAATTAGAGCCTGTGTTAATGTATATAAAATAGACCAGACCCGGATATAAGAGAAACCTGGATATAAGAGACTTCTTCTCCGGTCCCGACAACTCTTATATCCGGGCTACACTGTAATACAAATAAGCTTATTAGAAAAAAAAGCTGTTGACTTTCAGAGTAAGCAGGCAGGCATCCCCGCTTGGAAGATCGATACAATCTCCCCCACCTCTGGCATTAGTCTGGCACAAAGCTACAAACGTAGAGTACTTAGCAAAAATTAGATTCCCTACAGTATCACTGGTTTGTGATACTAACTTGCAAATCATTGCCCCATAATTGAAGAATTTTATGAATCTGCAATCCAACAAAATTTCTGATGTGTGAATATTAACTCACTTTGGTTTATTGATAAATTTTAATTATCAACTCAAAAATAAACTTTTTTTTTTAATCATTTCATCCCAAGCAAGACAACAATGCCACTAAGATGCAACAAAGGGGGGGGGGGTTTACAGAGTGTGAAAGAATATCAGAAAAAAACATTATTAAAGAGCGAGAGCAATAAAAGAACAGGAATTAAGATAATAACGATTAATATTGATCTTAAAAAATTTCAAATGCAAAGCTGACAGGAAAGAAAAAAGCTGGAAAAGACTTCCACAAGTGAGAACTGTGCAAGAACAATAGAAGAGTAATCAGGAAGACAGTAGATAATGATTGACGTTGTATTTAAATTTTTAAAGATCAAAGATGACTGGAAAGCGTAGAACTGGAAGAGAGTTCCACAGGTGAGAGAAGAAACTCGGCATGGAACTTACGATTCCATCTCGCCATTTCAACTGTAAAATGATAAAACATTGCTGCCAAGCTTATAAAATTTCTATTCTCTTTTTATTGTGAGGTTTTCTTTTTTATGTTCATTAATTTTATTTAAAATAAACACTAATCAATGAAATAAGATAAAATGGTGGTTCCAGTAGTTTCTAGAAACAGGCATTATTGCTAGAAAGCTGGAACTAAGTCTTCCTATAAACATTTTTAAATAAGTGAATGAAATAAGACGATATGGTGGTGCCATCCATTAGGAGAGGTAGACAATTAGGAGGAGGCTGAAGATATATCTTCCTATAAAGTTTTTGTTTAAATTAGGTTAGTTAATTTCTGTCAGAATTTATGAGATGAGAAATTATCATTATTTATACTATTTACATTCAGATTGTTGGCCTTATCTTTGTTGTTGTTATCACAACCTTTCAGATGATATACCCTCTCAGCTTCATCAGGTACATAGTAATCTGGGTAACCTAGAATGAATTACAAACTGAACCCTTTATTTACCAATGCTTAAGACAATCGGTTAGTGAATTAAAATGTTGGTTTGGGAATTTGGAGACATAGTAATTGTTAGTTCAATCCAGAGCACGGGCAGTGTGTACTTGGACTCAGTGTATACTGAGCCCTACCTGAGCAGTACTAAAAATAAGAACTAGACGAGATATCCCTAGACATCAGCAGTGGAATGAGAACATTCTCCACCCATAGATTAAATAAAGTGTTCAACCTGTTGTTGCTCTATTGCTACTTCCATGAAAGTATTCAGACAAACTACATTCCTTAGTTCCACCAGTTCTAACCGTCATGGCTAAGACCTGCTGTGCCATGCCTATTACAGCAAAGTACACTTATTCCTTTCATATTTCATTGGTAAGATGTAAGTTCACCTTCTTCCCACAAATGCTATTGGGTTGGTGCATAATTATCAGGCGTTTTTAAACAATATTCATTATGAAAAAAGAAACATAACAATTCAACAATAACATTTTTAAATGATTATTCCAGAGTGTCTGATTATCGACAAGCATTTTTATAACATGAAAATAAAATAATATTCTTATTAAAAAAAAAAAAAAAAAAAAAAAAAAAAAAAGAAAACAGGAATTTTTATTAACAAATAACTCATCTAGAAAAACTTCTGATAATTATGCATCAACCCAATACTTTGTGGGACCAACTCCTAAAAGCAGGGTCAGCTGAAGGTTCTGGCAACTCAGGCAGTCAACCAAGTATGCCATCAACGCTGAGGGCTCCCTCATGACACCATGTCATGTGTTTGGAATCTTCCAAAACTAAAGATTATAAAAACATACAGTCATCCATGACTCAAGACAGATTAAATTATTTGTCTATCAATGGAAAATGATCTTGTAAAGAAGATAGGTGTAGAAAATGCCATGAAAAGATTTGCAGATCTAAAAGCTAAAAAAAATGTTTTAGTTAGGATAATGAATGTTTTCATTAGCTTATATGAAGTGTTGTATATTGTAATAAATTCATTATTCTACATTTTCAATTTTTCTTGTGAAAATTTTCAAAAATGACACTTATAAGGGTGCCAAAGTTCAGCTTGCCTGGGGTGCCAGCAGCCCTAAGGCCATCACTGCCTAAAAGGATACCTTCCCTGATCATTATAATATTAGCCTTTTTAAATCTAGGGCTAACCATTATCTTCCTCACAAACTGTGCCTCTGTAATCCAAGTGGTTCTTGAGCCCTGTACAGTAAAAAAAAAAAAAAATTAAAATGTAAAAATGTTTGGAGTTCCCTGTAGGTTACCTAGAGCGATACACACCCAATGAAATCTGAAAGGTACAATGCCCTACCCCCAAAAAAGATGAAGACAATAGTCTTAATATAAATGGTGGCTCCATCGATAAATAAAAGGAGGCCCTGATTTAATGTCTGCTAAACTGCAATAAATTTTAATTCTTACAACTTATTTGAAATTCAACTCAGGTAAAATGACTAAATATCAGTCAAGTAGCCTTCTTACACCCTTGTGTAAATTAATTGAAACAAAACTAATAATTCTGTTATTTTTTTTTTTAATATTTTTCAATGAAACATGAC